CATAGGTGATTATCCAAATTTTCGCCATCGATGGGATTTGAACACCCAACCTACCACTTGGGGGGTTGACAACCTGATCACTTCACTAGGTCGCCACACCCCTAGAAAGAGTTTTTTTAAAAAACATGTTCTTCTTATTTAATATATAAAAATATAAATTAATATTAAATTTATTAATCTTGTTATTATAATCTAATGCTTAGTATTTAAAAGTATTATATTAAAATAAAATAAAATCAAAATATATTTAATAACCAATCTATATATATTGAAATGCTTTTAAGTATTCTGAGTATTACAAAGAAATAATTTATAAATTTTATAAAATTTTTTTATTTAATACATGTTATTACAAAATCTACAAATTAATTACTAAAAACCCAACTTTGTATTACAACCATAGTATCCAATTGTTATATTACTTGCTGACTTAATAACAAAAAAAAAACTGTATAAAATTAACTATTATATAAATTATATAATTAGAGTTTTTGATAACTGTTTTATAAAAAACAATTTACAAACATATACTAATTTATATAACTTGCATATATTTTAACTTTAGAATAAAATATTTTTAACATATAACAGTTTTAAATTTATAATAGATATATACAAATTATATAAATTAGTATGTGTTCATAGACAGTTTGGTTTTGTAGATCTTAAAATATGTATAATGTAAACATAATAATATATTTTGATTAGTTTAAGGATAAAAAACAGTATTTTAAAATTCTATATAAACCTAATAGTAAATTTTTTTAATATTTAATTTTATGAAAAATTATATTAAATAAACTAAATTTAATTATTAAGTAAAAATTCTAAAGTAGATCTTTTTGATTTTAATAATAATAAAATTATTAAAAAGATTAAAAACCTATTAAAATATGAATTTTTAAAAATTAGGATATAAAATTATAAAATAAAATTAATTAATAGGTTTATGTAAATTAACTAATCAAATTTTTTATTTTTGTACTATTTAAAGAAATTTTAACTCATCTAAGTAAACTTTATAATATATACAAGTATATTTTTTTGAAATAATACAATATATTAAAATTTTATTATAATAGATAAATAATTTTATTTATAATATTATAAAATTTTTTTATTAATTAATTAAAAAATATAAGGATGGTGATCTTAATATAGTGGTTGGGTTGTCATTCTCCAAGCAGTAGGTCCAATATTCAATTTCCATTAGTGACAGATTTTGAAAAAATAGACTTATTCCAACAAACTTATCTGTGATCTGGGGTTTGTAGATTCTGTAATTCTGGTTATACTAAGACTAATTTTGGAAATGTATAATATCATATGAATAAATCTGAAAAGTATATATTCAGATTAGAAGCCTGCTTGGAAATTCTAAGTAGAGAAGTAGTACAACTTTCAATAATGCTACCTGTGAAGATTTTGATCTGCTAAAGAAAACCTGGAGCAGATAACCTGTATAGACAAGAAGCTTTATGTAAGGAATTCACCAATTTGACTATCAGTTAATCTGAGCATGAAGTTGTATTATGCAAGGCTAACTAGATTGGTAGTATAGGAGGATTTGCAAGAATAGACGAGATAATGATGAGGTTGTAAAAGGAGAGTACTGGAGTTGTATGAACTTCGCAAGAGTTGTAAACTAGGTTTAGCTATAATTTGAAATACAGAAGGCTCTAGTAATGATGTTTTGAAGATAATCTGTATGAAATAAGGCAGAGGTCCTAAGAGTATAGATAAGCATCTAGAACTTCTCAACTGACATCATGTAACAAAAATGTTCTAGTAATAACAGTAAGAATTACAATATAGAGGGTTTAAATAGATAATATCTGTAGTTGGATTGCAGGTATAACAGTTAGTGTAGAACCTATATACAAGCAGACTACTTAAATTAGACACCAAAAGTGTATATATGACTAGAGGTACTTTCTAATGTAAGGTAGCTTCTTTGAGGTAATCAGACTATAAGTTACTATGTCTTACAATACTGAATAAAAAAACTCTAGTCCCTAAAAAACTAGTTTAATAATTAATTAATTAAAAAATAAAAAAATTTTATTAGTAACATATATTAATTTTAGATAAAAATTTTAATATACCATACATAACTATATAAAAATAATCTATATGTTCTCTACCTTTAAATAAAAAACATATATGAGATCTTTGCCTTAAAAATGATCCTATATAACTATGTAGATTTTATAACTAAAAATTAAAATTTTTAGCTATTCAATAATCTAATTCAAACAAATTTTTTTTTATTTTGTAGAACTTAATAAGTTTTACAAAATAAAAAAAAGTTTGTTTGAATTAAATCACTGGATAGCTAAAAATTTTAATTTTTAGTCATGAAATCTACATAGTCTTATAAGGTTATTTTTAAAACAAAGACTTATATATTCACATTTTTACAATTTATTAATAAATTATTAATTTTTTTTTAATTTTTAAAAGGTTACTGCTCTACTAGTTTAGTTATAAATTGAAATCTAAACTACAAGTTTTATTCTTTAGAACCAAAGAACAAATTTTGTAAATTAGTTTTATATTTTATAAATGTATTTTTTGTAAAACTATTTTTTATGAAAATTTTTAAAGCCAATTGCACTATATATATTAAATTAACTAATAAAACTTGAGTTTGGCATTTGTTATTCATTATTACGAACCAAATGAAAGAAGTCACTTGTAAATTCTTAGTATATTAACACTTTACTTAATTAATTATTATACCATACTGGATACAATATTATCTTCGCTAATTCAACACAGTTACTGAGAAAATTTTTGACATTTTGATATAAGTTGATTAAAAACACTTTACTCAACAGGAGTATAATCCTGTAATTACCCCAAAATTTAACTCAGACATCAAGTATGTAACACGTAATGATTATTCACAATCACGTGAGTGAGTAGACGGAAAAGTGAAATAGTCTAAATTAAATATCAATAATGCAAAACATTTGGCCACACAAAACTCTTGGTGCCCAAACACCCAAATTTCATCCCATGTCCCAAATCCAAAATCTTATTATCATATTATGGTAATGATATACGTATACATACGTACTGTACATACATATCTCGTACGATATTGATATGACTTTCTCGTAATGTGATTTCACATAATATATATCTAAAATGAAAGTTTAAATACACTCACTACGTAGATCCTCATTAATATCAACCTATTTGGATCACTTTTATACTCATGTTGATAGTGATATTAATGAGGGATCATATTTAAAGATATATATGAAGGAATTTTAATATAATTTTAATATATACATAGAAATTTAAATTATTGTTTTGGTTGATATTAACGAAGGTCAAGTGTAACTTGCACAATACCATGTAATATAATCTTGCATGAAACATCGATATGTAAATATACCAGTATATCTTGCACAAGGTATATCTAGTATAAAATTTGGATTGAGATTTTATGTTCGAAAATTTAGAGATTTGGGATTTAGGATTTGGAACATGTAATGAGATTTGAGACGTGGGATGGGATTTGGAACTTGAGATAGGATTTGGAACATGGGATGGGATTTGGCCAGAGTTTAGGATTATGACAGCCCAAATAGAGTTTGTCCAGTTTGAGATTTTTCCACATGGGATTTGGATTGTAGTTTGGGAGATTAGAGGCCAAAAAATCGTCCTTTTGCCGACCCACAAAATAAAATTTATTATCTTAGTTTTTAATAAGTTTGGCCCGCATTTTTACTATATTTTTGACGTATTTAGCCAGCAATTATACTAAGTTTTTAAAATTCTTGAATTTCGGCGCGGTCCCTAACGTTATTACAGGTATACGTACATATTCGCAATGAACGAAACTTATACCGAATTTCCTTTTTTCGAATTTGTATCACACACAAATTATTTCGGTGTGGTCGAGGAGTTGTAAAATCAAACCATGGCAGATGCGTCGCTCTCTACTGGTTATTATTCGATAATAGTTGGGGGCAAGACTTTCAAGTTGTCAACTACTGCCCTTTACTCGGATAGTCCTAACTATTTTACCGAAATATTTTCGTCACCTTTAGAGGAATCTCGTACAAAGACTATGATAATTGATAGAGATCCAGTGATTTTTGCGGATATCGTGAGTGGTAAAAGCATAAGAGTGACTGTGGGATTACATTGCAAATCGCAAAAAATAGTAAACTAAAATATAAATTTACATTGGTAACATAGGTTAAACATTTACAAGGATATAATATTACACCTCGGGATGAGGTATTGTTAAATTATCATTGAAATTTTAGAACTATGAATTAATTACGGGTTAGAGATGAATTAATTACAGATAAATCTCGATAAAAGTAGAACCACTATTCAGACCTATATAGCGATGCCATATATTACAGTCTATCAAAATTGAAAGCTCAATTACGGGCCACTTATACCATAAACATCGGTGGAAAAGTATTTCGTGTGGATAGAGAAATTTTGGAAACACGAGATGCGCCAAATTTCTTTACGCTTGGTTAATAATTTTTTATTTATGTACTTTTTACACTAATGATCTAGAATTAATCTTAACAACTTTCTAGGCTTTGTACATGGCTGGGATCCACCATCAAACGCCCCACCCATTCCATTGACGATAGCACCCCCAATAATCAATCGTGATCCTGACTTATTTTCCGATATTCTGCGATATCTTCAAGGATACGAGATTGGAATCAAAGATGAAGTTCATAGGCAAAACTTACTTAAGGATGCTCGCTTTTATCATTTAAAAGGGTTGGCTGAAAAACTTTTAGCATCTACAGTGACTGTAAATGGATTTGGTAAACATGATTGTGCAAAAAACGAGATATTATTTCGGTTAAAAGATATTAGGACATCTGGCGTTTTATTGCCGGAATGTAGCAATGGTGATGTCATGAGCGAAGAAGGTAGTGTTATTTCTACAGGAGCAACTAGTCACATCATGTATAAAAATAAGGAAGGAACCGTTTACATCTTATTGGTAGAGGTAAATAACGCACATCTCATTTGTCGATACGATTCATTGTCCCCTTGGCAAACTACCCCTACAATATTAGAGTTAGCATTATGTGATAAGGAGGCAAAGAAGCTTAAGGACATTGCTAAGGCAATCAAAGCGACAGAAGAAATTGAGACCATTATCCGATCACCGGACATATGTGCCTTTGAAGTTGACGAGGTAAAATGCACTTCGAAAACCTTGTTGAATATCGATGAATCGTCAGATTTAATAAAAGTAGATGATCAAGGAGGTAGACATGTAGACTTATTCGTTACAAAAGGAATATTAAGATTATTCGTAAATAATGAGAGGAAGATTGAAATGGAACTACTAAAATGCGAGGTCTTTAGCTCAGAGAAAGGATTCAATGGAAAAAGAGATTTCTTGCCTGCTGATAAAAGAATTGCATTGTAGAAGAATACAATAGGATTATCTTTTCAGATTATTATTTATTGTGGTAGCTGAAGTTGAGATTTTGAAATATTTTAACATTAAATTTTAAAAATTTTTGGGCCTTTTTTGTTAGCTTTTTTTTTAAAGTTGGGTTAGGGCAGTTTATTAATAAAAGAGTACAAATGGATTTTAGTAGGTATTATAGATTTAAATAGAGACCTCCAGATTTCAGCTTCAGCTGCCACATTTATTAGTGATGTTTTATACATACATGTTTTTATTGCAATCTTTTCATATAGATAAGTCATCATCTGGGTCTTCTTCGTCAAAATCATCATTGGCATCAGGTTCATAAAAAATAATACCGCCACTAGAATCGTTTCTTTTCTCTTCATATTGCTCTAATAAGATTAAAATTTTGTTATATATTTAGTCAAACATAATAAGTTTTGCGTAGAAATATATACCTTGCACTTTGACATATGGTAAAATTATATCATTTTTCGTTTTTTTTTGTTTTTCCGTCAATGATAAATTGAATGACATATTCGGTATTGCTGGCTCAGGCTTAAGAGTTTATATATTATGAGATTCAATGAAACTATTAGATTTATAGAAACATATTTTATTTGACCTACAGGATTGTTATCTTTAACATTCGAATCATCGGTTATTTCTTTTGCAAATTGAATTATTAGACCATTGGTGAATTCATCTACATGATATACATTTCTCTTATAATGTATAATAAATCCGACTTAGCGTATGATCGATTAAAAGTAGAAAATACAAGAGTTCAACAATAAAATTTAAATTACCTCGTAAAATACCTTTCCTGATTTTTTTCTATGTTCTATAGCACACATACTACATTCTGGTGAATTCATATGTACATTTACCATAGCATCAACTCCTTTAGAATACCCATAAACTGACTCTTTGCGAACTTGTTCCATATTTTTAATTGTTATTGTTGTGGTAGCAAAATGACTTAGAATGGTGCTTCGAATATTCAGCATACCGATTATCCCATTTGCTGAATGAGTTGGAATATCAGAATGATAAACTGCTATTACTCTAAATGTATTCATTTCTAATATCAGAGACTTGTAAGTAACACAGAAAAGATTTTAAAATGCAAAAACAGAATTGGATTATAAATACCTGAAGTTAACTCAGAAGATATCTTTTTTAAAAAAGAAAATGTTGATGATATAGAAGTTAAAAGCAGAGGAGTAAGTGAGTCTATGATCAATGTAAAATTGGAATTTGGAACTATGAGGGTATATTAGAATGCATAAATTATAAAATAGTCAGTAGCATTTCAGCAAATAGTATTAGATTAGGGTGGCAAAATTAAATACTTGCACTCGGCAATAATATCTTGTATCAGTCTTAAAATTGTGGACAAATCGTCAAGACTTTTTATGACATGTACTTTTATATTACTTTCAATATCATCTATGTCATCACTTTCATACGATCCAAGATGGGAATATGCGTCAATAAATATGACACTAGACAAACAAAAAGCGTGAAATTCAATTTTTTGTAAAAAAAAACAAAAAAACAATCATTCTAATTTAGGCCACACAAATTTAATATCTTGGTTTTCATAACATGAAACTTTTGAACAGACCCGGCCGGCCGATTTTTTTTTAAATTTCCATATATAAATTTTTTTATAAAATTTTTTAAAAACCACCCGGTTATTAAAATTTGACCCGGCCAGGTTGTGAAAACCAATTAATTAATTTTGTATGGCCTTAGTATTCAAGCACATACTTCT